TTGACAGGAAATGCAACTTTCTGCAAATCAACAGTTTTCGTGATTTTAATTTAATAAACAAGACTCGTGTGAAAATATATTCTAATTTACTGAATATGACTGTAAATGTTAATATAAGATGGAGATTATTCATTCAGTTTAACATTAACATAATAACCAGGATGTGGAGGAGCTGAATGCTAACCGGGACATTCATACCAGGAGATGCTGCACTTGAAGCTCCGCCCTCTGCGGAGTCACCGTGTTGCTAAGCAACGTATCAAACGCTTTACAGTCATACAAATCAGCTGCAGGCTGTGTGGTCAACAGTTTGAGGAAGTTGGAGGTTATTTCCTGCCTTTGTCATGATTAAAGTTCTGAGCAAGTTCCAGCCGACTCTAGTTTCATCTTTTTTTGTGGAATGTAAACATATTTTGCAACGGTTCTGCCGCGACGCCATATTGGATATTTTCTAAAGCAAAATATGGAGCGTGTACAATACGTCGTCATGGAACTGTGTCACACATTACAGGAACCGATGAGCAGAATCATTAAGCAAGTAACTGAACTACTGAGAAGCAGTTCTGGTTCTCGATTTCCGTCCCGACCAGAAACCCAGTGGAACCTCAGCAGAGGACTTAAAGATCTGTTTAGCAAGGTGACACAGACTTTTTTTTTTTAACTCCCATTTGGTCGAGAAGACTTATCCAGTTAGTTGGGTCAGCTGATGCCAGTCAGTGCCGACGACAGCAGCAGAGGCTGAGTCAGAGTTACGGTTTGGATGCGATGCAGCCGCTAAAACAAACAGACTGATTATAAGTGCAACATTCCCCTTGCAGCGGCCGGCTCGTTGTATATTCTGAAGCTGTTTCTGTCAGTGTTTGTTCACACTGTGGGGCACGTGGCAGCCTGTGAGTTACACTCACCAAGCACCGAATGCATTAACACACAGATCTGCTTCACCGTGTCATCTTGCTGAATAACGTATGATGCAGATGGAGGTCTGCTGGTCAGTAAGAAAACACAACGGGTTAGTTTGTGTTCTCATTCTGGACCCAGTCAGGGACGCATCATGTAGTTTTTGCTGTTTTTCAGTCAGATTATTTAAAAGGATTGTTTTTGCTTCTACTCTCACATAAACGTCGGCGTGTTTTATTAGCGTTTCATGTGAAAGATCAGCACATTTTGGTGCAAAAAGTGAAAGGAAAACGATACAGGATGTTATGTTTTTTAGGGGTGCACCAATTCATTGGCCAGCTGATTTATCGATGCTGATTTTCTTAATTTTGGGAGATGGGTGATCGGCTGATTTTTTACATGTGAAGCCGATCCTGTCCATCTTGGCAAAGGTCTAAAAGTCAGCCACTGTCCTCTGCTCTCCTGTGAGAGCTTTGACCACGTCATGTCTGGACGTTACAGATAATAATAGTCGCCCCACTGTTGCCAATTCAGCAGCTTTCTTCCTACATTGAGCAACATTTCAGACAAAAACATTTCAGACAAAAAGAAAATTGGAATCAGCAGGTCAGGCTTTAAAGATCGGTAATCAGCGATCGGCAGAACTGTCCGCCTTTTTCTGACTTCTGAAAACAGTTCATTGTACCGGATTTTATTTAGGGGTATCTGAGTGAATCAAGGGTAATGAATGAAGTACAAACTTATTTTAAACAAAAATTCACTTAAAATAAGACAAATTTAACTTAAAAGTAACTTTTCAGCAAAAAATAGGAGCCTGATTTGAGTAAATAATTCCTTAATATTAAAAAAAGACGTTTTAGATTATTTTATTTATAATTTTATAAATTATAAATGAAATAATCTGCCAGTGGAATTTGTACGTTTTCACCAATATTAAGGAATTATTTACTTAAAAACAAGCTCCTATTTCTTCCTGAAAAATTACCTGTAAGTTAATCTTGTTATTTCAAGTTTAATAAGATATTTTCACTAAAAATAGACAAAAAAATTACTTGATAAGATTGTGTTTTTACAGTGCGGGTTGACTTCAGCTCAATAATGAACTTAATCCTTCTCCCAATTGCATTTTTAGGATGAAAATTAAACATTTCACTGAGAACATGAAATAAATTCAGTCGCTGCTTGAGAGGGTTTCAGATCTGAGCCGCTGCAGCAGAAACGGACAAAAAGGGGGCAAGAATAACGCAGCTATGGCAGAGACAGAGTGTCTCTCTCAGCTCATAGGCAGAATCACACACTTAATAGAGTGAATGAAAAAGATCTCAGAGGAGGAAATGTGATTAGGGGGGAAACTAACTGATCAGAGAGGGATCAGAACGGAGGAGCAGCCTGGATGGGAACGAGAGGAAACGAGCGGCCTGAACAGATGGAGTGGGCTGGGACTATTTTGGTGCATGATGGGATTATCGGCATGTGGTTACAGTATGGTACAGCTGATGCCATATAATATATATATATATAATCACTTACTGATTTATATGTTCATTCATAACAAGAGAAGCACAGATAGAGGCAGGTAGAGATGCTGACCTATAACCGTAAAGTCAATGAAAACTCTGTTATTTTACGTCTCAATAAGAGGATAATAGGAGCTGTTATTTACTAAAGTTACTAAAAAATAAAGCCAAAACTTAATGTGTGATATATTGATTGAGATTCTTTACAGAATAGAAAAAACATGTCATAGTTTCCCCTGGTGGTTGGTCGTGGCGTTGCAGCAGTCATCCAGCTTCCTGCTGTGTTTTTTAGTTAAAAAATGTTTAAAGTTGACAGGAAGTTTGAAAATATCACTAAGGCTACGTTCACACTGCAGCCTGAAGTGACCCAATTAGGATTTTTTTTTGTGAAATCTGATTTTTTATTTATTTTTTTGTATGGTCGGTCATGTTTCCAAATATATGTTAAATGTGTTCTCCAGTGTGAACTGCAAACGACCTGAAAGTGTCCTGTATGCCCAATAGAGGGCGCAATAACGACACACATAGAAAGTGTACTCAGTGTTTTACCAACCACCGTAAAAAACTAGAAGAAGAAGAAGTAGTCCTCAGTGTTTGCAGAAGTAAATGTGGATGCTAACGGTGGAGTATGCTTTGCAATTCTGAAGTTGTTGTCCAACCATAGCTAGCACTCTAACAACTTAATCCTCATTATCGTTCACCAGGGTTGTTACTTTTCTTCCCGCTAGATTAGTGATGTTTGTTGAATATCAATGACGTTCAGGTCACATGTGGAAAGATTGGATACATATCAGATTTCCAAGTGAAAAAAAATCTGATCTGTGTTGTTCAGACTGTCATGTAAAGATCAAGTACAGGCCGCATTAAAGCAAAACAAAAATAAAAACTGGATTTGTGTAACGTCAGTGTGAACGCAGCTTAGGTCATTATGTGTTGTAGGAAAACATTATTAGCAATACCTAAATGCCAACTATATACAAACGAAGATTATAATACTCCTCAACAATATTATAAGCCTGGCAGCCCGCCAGGCTTATAATTACTATTGAGCAAACTCTTCATGGCAACTGAATAGAAAATTTCCACCCAAACAACTCGGAGATTTTGGCATTAATTTTGCGTGTTTACGAGAAGAACTGGAATATTTTCTGATTTTAAAAAGTCGTACATAAAGGAGAAAAAATTACATCCAGAGTGAATCCCACTTCTACAGAGGTGATTGTCCACAGCACAAAGTTTCACTCCCGACATCAGGAGCTTTGCTGTATCTGTTTCCCCACTTCTCCCTTTTTCTGTTTGAAACACTGTGAATAAACTCCACTAATCTCACAAACTTCTATTAAATAAGTAACTTCAAACTGCCTAGCGCGACCGCTGGAGGAGACATTTTATTTTTCCTTCTGCTGAAGAACATTAGCATGTTTCCGTTGAATAAATTCCCATGTCCTTACGCCGGTGACGCCTCCTTCTGGAGCTCAGTCGTTCGGTTAGCTCCACCTGTACGCCTGCAGCTCCTGCTCTGCTGTCGGTGACTAATAGTTCACCAGAACATCTCTTGGCTCGGCTCAGGACCTGCCCAACTTTCCCCGTGTCCAGTTCTAGCTGTTGCTGCGGCAACAAGCTGTACTGTATATAGCATTTCCTGCCGTCGGTTCTGTAAAAAAAACAAAAAAAAACTGGCATTCAGGAGAGCATCAACATGTTATACAGTTTTTATTTCAGTCTTATTTAAGCTGCAGCTTGTTGCTGTAGTTTAGGCTGAATCTAACTGAGTTATTGTTGTTTTCACAATGCCGTCTTTGGTTTGTCAGATGACTAGAATGAGTAACAAACGCATAAAAAGAAATGCAAACATAGAAATGGCAATGTTTCAAATCATAATAAAAGTGGGGGGTTTTTTGTATTTGTCAAATTTTAGAAGACCTGGAGATGCATCAGGCTTTACTTTCTACTGTTTATCTAGTTTTCATTTCTCTGACAGTTCTGGGAAACTTTAATGAAAAGATGTTTCTACTGGTTATAAAAGCTTGATTGTGTGAAGATGAACACTTTTTGTTGTGTTTAACTTTTTCAGCTGTAAAAAAAATTACTGGAAAGTCTCCATCTGCATTTCTAGGGCCACAAATAGTACTTTGGACCTCATTTTGGACCCCTGTGTTGAGTTCTGCTTCAGGTTGAATCCGATCACCCAGGCTTCTTTAGATTATATTTTACCAACTGCTAAATTAGTTTATTTTGTATCACAGCTATTATAATATGTTGTGATTGGACTAATTCAGATTTCTGTGTGAACAGGGTGGAGTAACTCAGCCACTGCATTTCTAAAAGACTCAACATTTTCCCTAAATGGTTTCATTGAAATCAAAGCTAAATATTTTCCACCACAAAGCTATTAGAAGTTTAATAGTTCAATAAAAACACTGATTTTCTTCTCAGTGTTTTTGGTGGAAAGAAGCAAAGGCATCCATTAAAAATCTGCTTTTTACTTGAAACTTGAACTTGAAGAACTTTCTAATTCTGCATTCCCTTTATTTTCTGTTTTGTAACATTTCTAACCGTCTGACTCATCTCCTCTCTCTGCGATAGCGACTACATAATCAAGGAGAAGACGGTGCTTCTGCAGAAAAAAGACAGCGAGGGATTCGGCTTCGTGCTGCGAGGGGCCAAAGGTAAGAAATCTGAGATGAACTCAGAGTTGTCACACTGATTCATGCTCTGTAATAAAATCGTTTAACGACCTGATCTTAATATTTCATGGTGTCCCCAGCTCAAACTCCCATTGAAGAGTTCACTCCCACTCCGGCCTTCCCGGCCCTGCAGTATTTGGAGTCAGTGGACGAGGGCGGCGTGGCGTGGAGAGCCGGTCTCAGGATGGGGGATTTCCTCATCGAGGTACAGCAATGACTTGGAACATTCAATAAATAAAATCAACATGGGAAGATTAACCCTTTATGCTTCCTTAAACAGGTTAGCATGGGTCTATGGGAGATACAAAACATGTTTTTATAGTTTTTGTACAAAATTGTTTCAGTCTGCTCAGTTCAGAATGAGCTGTTTTAGAGCCTCGTATATAGAGCTTCTCTGATCTAATATTTAAAGCTGCTGCTGGCCACCCCGCCCCCCCAACTCAACATTTACGCTCACTCATCAAAATGGCTTCAAACAGATGCGCAATAATGCATATGCACATGTTTGAAATGCAGAAGTAGAGCCTCCTGCACAACCAACAAAAATGCAACAAGTTATATCTGGATGGTAAGTGAACAACAAAACACTTGTCTTTTCCAGCAGCCATTGTACAGCACATACATCAGTAAAACCAGCTGGTCAAATGCACTGGAGCTCGACTGAGGATGCTAGAAAATAGGCGGATCTCCACTGGGGTTGCTAGGTATTGGGCTGAGCTTATGAGGTTGCTAGGTAACGGGAAGTACCTGCCGATTTGTGACGCTACATTCCGGAGGTTTTTGAAACGGCTCATTTTCCAGACATCAAATATCATGAAACTAAAGTGCTTGGGTTGTCTTTAGAAGCAGTAGAAACTCAAATGGAAGGATAAAAACATGTGAAATGTGAATTTTTCATTAGTTACTTTCATTACGTCTCCTTGGACCTTCCATAAAAACTTTGGCAGGATGTAATAAAGAACCGACTGAAACCACAGTCCTGTATTTTTAGTACTAGGAATAGCTGACCCAACTGTTACTGATAAATATAAAAGAAAGCTTCACAGAAGGTTAACTTTGTGTGCAAGAAAATGTCTCCTTTAGCTTTAGTTTTTAAAAATAAAAGAAGTGACACCAAAACAGCTGGTAGTATTTTCAGGTCTTTTAGCTCTTTCTCTTTAGATTGGAAATTATGTGCTTCTTCAGAATTAGAATCATCTTTATAGACCAAGATTTTGTGTCCAAGCAAAAATTTTGAGTTCAATGTCAAGCATTACAGACATTAGATGTGAATATATAAACATTAGAGAAATTAAAGACCTTTTTTTTTTTACATTTTCCACAAATATCAACTTCCCATAGAAAATGTTTTCAACCATTTTATTGCAAAACAACTCTGCAAGTATTTTTTTGCTTTTAAAAGATCATGTAACTTTTGCAGCCTTAAAGTTTTCTTATCTGGACTGAGGGCAAAATGACTCTTTCGATTATGAAACGGGTGTAAGGACAAACTGTCACCAACATTTGTCTGAAGCAAGTTGCACCTCAACATTTCTGTAAAGTTATAATTCTGGCTGGATGTTGGGCCACTCTGACTGGCAGAATTAGTAGGACTCATTTGAACTGATTGGCTTCCTGGCAGGAGCCCAACTTTTAAGCATATGTGGAATACATTTTTAATAGAGATGAGATCCAGGCTTTGAGAAGGCCATTCAGGGAGTCTAATGTTAGCCTGGTTGGTCCGGTTCTCGTGTTGTCTTGTTGGAAAACCCAACTGTGTCAAAGTTTCGACAATTCAGCTGTTGATGTTGGATTAAGTTAAAGAAGTTTAAGCTAATTGGCCTTTTTGTTATTAATGGACCAATGAAATCTGCTCTTTACTAGAGAATCCTTAAGGAAAGACCCAGAAAGGAGTTTAAAAACGACATGTAATGAAAAGGTCACATTTTTGTACTTCCATTTGGGTTTCTGTAGAATGTATAAACAGCCCAGCATCTTATAATCTACCCATATGTTTTTTGGCAACAAGTTAATGTTTTTTGGTGTCTGGAAAAGGAGCCGTTTCAAAAATCTCTCAATTATAACGTCACAAATCAGCAGATGCTGCCCCTCACCTACCAGGTCCAGTGAAGCCCAACCCGTTACCTAGCAACCCCAGCGGAGTTCAGCCCGTTACCTAGCAACCCCAGCGGAGTTCAGCCCGTTACCTACTAACTTCAGCCGAGTTTCAGCATATTTGATCATCTGGTTTTATCGCTGTGTATGCGCTGTTCAATGGCTGCTGGAAAACACAAGCGTTTTGTTGTTGACTTACCATCCAAAAACCACTTGCTGCATTCTTATTGGTTGTGCAGGAGGCTCCACTTCTGCTTTTCAAACAGGTATAATTGTATAATTATGCATCTGTTTGACGACATTTTCAGGTGCGTAGCCAGTAGCAGCTCATTCTGATTTATTATAATAACAATAACCATTTATTTAACCAGATAATAAACCTTGTTGAGATCTATAATATCTTTTCAAGAGGGAAACGGAAAGATAGCAGCACCGTTTTCAAATATCAACTTTGACATTCAGTCAGAGAAATCCATTTGTTTAATTTTAAAAGCAGCAAAGCATAAAACAGTAAAAACGGCTAATAAAACAGTAATGAACCTATTCTAACTGGGGGCGCACCAATTGCAGTTTTCTGGCCGATCACCGATTACCAATCTCTTCAAAATCTTGACGATTCCGATTTTGGCCGATGCCAATATTTTGTCTAATATTGGTATTAGAAGAAAGGAAGAAAGTTGATGAGTTGCCAACAGTGAGATGACTGCAACATACAGACCTGATCCGGTGGGCCGGTCTGCTAGTCACACCCCTCTCACAGCACAGCAGAAGAAGATAGAAGTTGATTTAAATACCTTTGCTAAGGTTGATAAAATCGGTGATTAAGATCGGCTTCACATGTAAAAATCGGCCCATCACCGATTTCCCAAAATTAAGGAAATCAGCACCGATAAATCTGCTGGCCGATAAATCGGTGCATCCCTAATTCCAACCTGTTCAAGGAAGTGTGCCAGGTCACCTTTAAGTTCAACTTTGGCCTAGTCAAAGACTTCTCTCCGTCTGCGCCTCAGGTCAACGGTCAGAATGTCGTGAAGGTCGGCCACCGGCAGGTCGTCAACATGATCCGGCAGGGCGGCAACAGCCTCATGGTAAAGGTTGTCATGGTAACCCGCAACCCCGACATGGAGGAAGGCGCGCGGAAGAAAAGTAAGAGCCGCTGCAATCACTCACAATAACCGACAGCTCATCTGGAGCGGCTCGACCGACCGCAGCTGCCTTCTCCTCTCTCCAGTCCCTCAGCAGAGCAAGAGGCTGAGCACTCCAGCCATCGCCCTGCGCTCCAAATCAATGACTTCAGAGCTGGAGGAGATGGGTAAGAAACAGGCCCGAATTAGATTCTTTTTTATTTTTTTGGCAGATAAAAGCAGGAGGATGAAGGAACATATTGCTATGGAGATGTAGAGGAAGAAGGCGGGAGCTTTGCTGGTTAGAAACAGACTCAGGTAATGAGGAGTGATGGAGGCAGTGTGAAGACGGAGACGCTGGGAGTGTGAAGAGAACTTGAGCGAGGGATAAATTTAGACGGCAGTTATTTAGTTGCAGGAACAAGACGGAGAAGGCTGGTGTTGGATGATGGTCTCAATGCGTTTCGCTGTGTTTTCAGAGGTGCCACAATGTCACTGCCAGCACTCCCGCTACAGGTAACCCCACCCAGAAACGTGTCGCCTTCCACCGTGTGATCCCTCTCTCACTCCCTGCTTCTTTTAACCTTTAACCTCCTGCACCTCCTGCTCCTCCCCGGCCCGTCAGCGTCTGAGGACGACCAAACTGTCACAAACACACCTGAGGAGAGGCTCCACACTGCAAAAACACAAAATATGACCGAGTATTTTGGTTTAGTGCCTAGTGTGAATATATCAATACACTTTGAATAGGCAGAGTTGAATAAAGTTTCCAAAAGTTGTACTCAAGTAACAGTAGCAATACTTCAACATGTTTTTACTCCAGTAATAGGTTAACTCAATTTTTTTTTTTTTAATTACTCAAGTAAATGTAACTAATTTCTACCCAACTCTGCTTAGAAAACAACATATAGGAGCTTGCTTTATGTGGCATTTTTTCCATATTATAAGTAGGAATGCACGATATATTGGCACCAATATCAGTATCGGCCAATATTAGTCATTTTAACATGTCGTTATTGGGCCGATATTCACAACCGATACAGTTGCTTTCTTTCCCAAAGATGTCAAAACAGTTGAGAAATGCATATAATATTAGTAAATATTGGTTATTGACCAAAACAGCAATACTGATATTGGATATTATTGGCCCAAACTTTCATATCCTAATCATAAGCTCCACTGGCAGATTTTTTCATAATCTATTCCTATAACGCGTGCTCAATTGATTAATCGGATTAATCGTGATTAATCGATTATTGAAATAATTGTCAACTAATTTAATAATCGATTAATTGTTAACTGGAGTAAAGAGACTCAAAAAAAGTTAATTTGCTGAAAGAACAACACACACAGAGCTGCAATTAAGCAATAACTGTACAAAATAGATACTTTTTGGATTTAAGATTAAAAAACTAAGCTGTAGATTTCTTCTGGCAATTTTAACTTCACCTGATTCAAATTCTGAAAAAAACTCTCCTTTTTCTATGCAGCTATTAATTACTTTATCAGAAAAAAGTCGACAGCTCAGCCAATCACTATGAACTGCAGATGCATCTTTTGGTACAAATAATCAAGACCTTTATGTTGTTGCAGTTTAGGATATGACATTTTTATTTTCTTATTTCAAAAATGAGCTTAAATTAATCTTTTAATTTATTTCTAATATTGTGTAAAAAGGCTTAAGTAAAATCTGCACTGTGCCCATTTTTATTTATCTGATTAATAGATTAATCGTCTGAATAATTGATTAATCGATAACTAAAATAATCGCTACTTGCTGCCCTACTTATAATTAGCACTTTTTCGTCAATATTAAGGAATTATTGATTTAAAACGAGCTCTTATATGTTGCTGAAAAGTTACTTGTAAGTTTCTTATTTAAAGATATTTGCTCTAGAAACTAGACAAAATACTTGATAAGGTTGTGTGGTTTTGCAGTGCACAAGGTGTCCAAACTGCTCCTTTTCCATTATAATCTTATGTTGAACATGTTTGTTAATTCCTCTGGAAGAAATCCCACCAAGAACAAAATTATTGAGATGAGTAATTTAACTTTGCTCCTGGTCTGTTCCTATGGCAACAGCAGTATCTCTATTTGAGGCAAAAATTGTGGGAGGAGAGTGCAAAGCAAGGGGTCAACGCCCCCACTCGCAGATCATAATGTCTGCCAATGTTTTAATTGTGGATCGCTTGAATCTTCTGGTGTTTACCGCTTCTGCTGGGTGGATCTGGGCATGCTCAGTGAGCGCCTGATGATTAACAGGCGAACAGAGATAAATAGAGAGTCAGTCAGCTGGCCTTTCACAACTCCTGACATTAAAACTTAAAGGGGTAGTTAAAGACTTTTTGAATGTGAGATTCTGTTAAAAGGTTGTGGACAGTTAAATACATAAGCAACATTTTCAATTAAAAACCCATTTTTCCTGCTTAATTGTTGAATAAATATGCATATGAGCTCAACAACAAAGATATTTATTGTTTACGTCACTCAGCCATCAGATTGGAGCAAAGTGCTAATAAACACATTCAGATTTCCAAGTGTTTCAGGAACTTTTTTAGGAATGTGGACTGCTGACACTGACATTAGCATTAGCATCTGTGCTAGCTACTATATGTTTAGGGTTGAGATGCTATTTTAGCCTTGAATATCTTCGCTGGTATACTAACTCCTTTTAGCACCGCTTGAACACAACAATAGTCTTTTTTAGTATCCAATCAGATCAGTTTTTAAAGCGAAAATTAACCCCCTCTTAGTAAAGAGAGGCTCTAATGTAGCTTGTGTGTCAGATTTACGGTCATACAGAAACAAAATGCAAAGGTCCGGTTTGGGACTTTTGTATAAAAACAAAAAAAATGTAATTAATCGTGAACATTTTTACTGTGCGTTAAAATCCCGACCCTATCTAATATTTTACCAACAACAGAATTTGAGAACAGAAAAAAATAACCCAAGCAAATGCAAGAAAAACTGTTTTAAATGATGATTAGGGAAATTAAGCAAGCTAAGGGAAAAAAGTAACTTTCCCTTGTTTCATGTCGTCTTTGCAGAATTTTTTTAGTCACAAGAAAAGGTTTTTGAACATAAATGTCCCTTTTTTCAGTTTATGCATCTGCACCTCAATCAGATATTTAAGAAAATAACACTGAAGGTAAACTCTGTGTCCAGGATGTGTGGGGTCTGCAGAGATGTCCCACCTACTAACAGTATTAATTACAGTTAATTTATGATTTAACAGGAGGTCTGTGGCACCATATCCTTTTTTTCTTTTACAAATTAAATAATTTAAAAACTACATTTGTGGATTTACTGAAATTATTGAAAAAGACTTAAGTGTGTTTTCAATAAAAAACTATCAAGAAGTGGCAAATTATCTTACAAAGATAATATAGATTAATTATATTAAATGTTGCATCATTAGTGATTAATGAAGCATGCACTGAAATAAGCTTTTAACTGCAACTGTCTAACAATAATGAAAATAATCATTTAAATATTTTAAAAGTTCTGAGGTTGAAGTTTATCAGAAGGCTGCTTTTGTACAAAATAATGTTAATATATATATTAAATAAAAATGTCCGGTAATGTTCTGCAGGTAAGATATTAACCACTACTACCCCTTCAACAGAATCTCGCTTCAGAAATCCAGCGCTACCACTTTAAGATGAACCTTTGACCTAATTGTTTTCCTCTTCTTACCTGCCTTCTGTTGGTGTTGTGACCTCACCTGACCTGCAGCAAAGCATGAACACAGCCACAGGTTTCCTGAACTCCACCAAACCCCGTTCTCACCACGTACTCCCTGAATTGTCCACATAAATTATTCACAGGTTCAGGACAAAGTCCTGCTCAGAACCTTCTGACAAAAACTTTATTAAGCCTCTACTGAACCGGGTCGTTTTATTGTCTTCTGAAGAGGTTTTTATTTGGACTTAGTCTGCTTTTTCAGTAATTATCTGTCCAGTTTTAATGTAAACAATACTTTTTTCTTTCATATGCTAACTGAAGATTCATATGAAATTACCATATAAAACAAATATAACTGCAGTGTATTATCTAATCTGACATTTTTCAGAAGGAGTGACCGAAATCCTGACTTTATTGCTCAAAATTGACTAAAATTTGTTCATGTTTTTTCCAGTCAACACCTAAAGAAATTGCAACACGAGTCCAAACTCAAAATATTTTTTACGTTTTGGGTCTATAATCCCTTTCCAATAACAAATCTGACTACTTTATTTGTTTATTTGAATTATTACATGTTTAGCTGGTAAAAGAACATTTAATTTTTACCCTTAAATCATTTTCACTTGACAGTTTTGGCCCATTTGACCAAAAGTTTGTAGATTAGTTTTGCCTCATTTCAAGTTTACTAAGATATCTGCTCTAGAAACAGAAACTGCTCTCCTATTATTAATCTGTTAGTCAGAAACCATTCAACAGATCAGCCCTGAGCTGTATTGATAAACTTTTCACATGTTGATGTTAGAAGTGTCTAAGTGAAATGATTCACTTAGGGAATCATTTGCCTAAGTGAATCATTTAGGCAAATGATTCACCAACTCATTTGCCTAAAATGTTGAGTAAAATATTTATTTCCTCATTTAATAAGGGAATTTAAGTGTTTATTTGCATCTTTAACGTGTTTTTTATATTGTATAAAAAGACTTAAGTGGTTAAATGAAAAATCTGCAGAATGTGATAATTTATCAGATTAATCGATTAAAGAATGGAATAATTGATTACTAAAATAATCGTTGTGCGCTGCTTTGTCTTGGTCCAAAACATAAAATCCTGATTCTATCAGGTTTGTAGTTGAGGAAAAATAATATAGCAGTGTATAGGTTTATTTGTGCAAAACACTAAAAAGTACATTTTTGCAAAGAAATGTGAATCTATGTATGCATTTCAAATAATTGAGCCTAATTTGCGAGACAAAGTGAGGCTTGTTTTGTTCCTTGAATCAAGGTGAAAAGAGCAGGCTGTGTGACGAACCCCGTCAGCTGCTGCCATATGCTGATTCTGATGCTAATGAATTAATTTAGTTGTTCAACTTTCTCACCTCTGTGATTGCTGCAGTGTCCCAGTTCACCTGTAAGTCATGCAGCAAGAGAACCAGAACATTAAAATGGAGATGATCCTGCAGCATCTCCAAACCGGCTGTAGTTTCTAGGAAAATGTTGCTTGGAGTAGCAATAAAACGTGAAAACCAAACTGCTGTCACACACGTGAACGTGAGGGTGACCTCAAATTCTTCCTCTCCACTCCTTTCTGCACTCCTCTTTTCACACCAGAGTGAAGTCGGCACCAATCCAAGTTAAACAAAGGTTTTTTATTTGTGGCTCTCTCACTTTAGAGACACTAATAAATGTTTCCAGAGGTCGTCTAAGGTCAACCAGCCTGTCCATATTTACAAAATCAAGAAAATTTGGTGTGAATCAACTGTGCTACAAATATTTTAGACACAAATCAATTTTGTTTTTTGTGCAGGGTACAGCATGTAACTTTTATTTTAAAAAAAGTTTTTACATATTTGTTAAAACTCTTGACAAAACTGGTCCTTAAAAAAAACCCTGTGAAAAAATGTATTTTCTCCTCCTCCTCCATGAGCTGCTTTTACCGTCTGAAGAAATACACAGCTCTCGACCAAAAACAACCAATCAGAGCCAGGAGGCGGGTCTTAGCGTTGTCAGTCAACTCATGTACTCACTGCTAAATGTGCTAATTTAGCAGTATCTGTAATTAACTTACAGATTCAGGGAAATCGTTTATTCGTCGTCATCGGTGGCTACGCTAACTACACCACTGGCTATGCTAGCAGAGAGCAAGAGGCACACAGAGGGATGATGGACAGCGCTAAGACCCGCCTCCTGGCTCTGATTGGTTGTTTCTAGATAACACTGCGAGAAGACAAAGGAGCTTGATTTTTGTTCCCATAGATTATCTCTTACTATCACAATAGTGATACTCTCATAAAAAAATATATATATATATTTTTATAAAAGTTAAACACTGGAGCTTTTTTAACTCTTAAATGTGAAACTGTTTTTTATCTTAAAAATTATAACTATTACATTTGATTTTGTATATATGGACAGGCTGGTTGATGTTGGATGACCTCAGGAAACATTTAAAAAAATCTTTAAAACATGTTTATTTTAAAGGTAATTCTTTAAATTAAATTTTTAAAAAGTGTTTTTATCTTTATAACATCACAAACCGCTGACTCCATATTTCATCATGTAAATGTGGACAAGCTGGTTGACCTTTGATGACCTTATTTTAGTGAAATTTCAGCTGCACAAAAGTTTCACAGAAACTTATTTAATTTGAAGAACCTGTCCAACTTCCCTCTGGTTCCATTTGCTGGGTTAACCACTAACTCTGTTTTTCCTCTCTCTCTCGCTGCCGCGGCCAATGGGATCGTAACCGTCTGACAGTGGAGAGAGGTGGGAACCCGTACCGCTGTGAACGTGCAGCATATGCGTCTGCAGCCTATTTACTGTAACATGAGTGTGCATGCTTGTGCTGCGTGGGTGTGAATGTGCGTTTTTCACGGGGTGACTCAGTCCGTTCGGCTCTGGGGAATATGATTAGTATGCACTGTAACGACGCACTTTCACTCCTGCCAAAACTTAAGTCTCCTTTTGTCCTCCTTCCAGCTGCTACCCCTTGGAAAAAAAAATCAGGTACGCTCCGGTGCCTTCCCCCGGTTAACGATGACGCCTCTTATATCTGTCCAAAATGACTCGGCACTCTCACCGGCCTCATTTCCTTCCTCTCTCCTAGAGTTCGAATCCTCACAAGTTTCAGAGAAGAAGAGGACAGTCTATCAGATGGCTTTGAGTAAGGATTCTTCTCCCATCATCCGTTTTGTCGTCTTTTCCTCCACGCTTCTACCTGTTTTATAGCTGTCCGTTTTTCCGTTTCATCTCCGTTTGTCTCTTCTGTCTCTCTATTTTGCTTCTTTACTCCTTTTCCCCTCTCAGATAAACTCGATGAAATTCTTGCAGCAGCTCAGCAGACAATCAGCACCAACGAGGCGTCCGGGACACGGGGACAGGGGCCGAAGAGGGACCGGGGAAGAAGTTTCTATGGCAACGAGGTTTGCATCGCGACATCAATTTAAAAAAATGAAATTGCTACTCTTTGAATCTGAACTGCCAAACTTTACGTATGAAATTCATCTGAAATGTTTGCACTTTTTCAGATGAAGTAGAGAAAAAAAACTTTGATTGTAATTTGCGTTTCTGAAACGAATCCCTAATTCTATAAGCACGTCTGCTGCTTTGCAGACTTAATTTCAAAGCAAGTCACAAAAGAATGAGACGATTGCGAAAAGGAAAAATGCAACTAAAAAGAAATCACAATTTAGGAGCAGCAGATTTAGGGTGAGGATGGATGGATGGATGGACATATGAACGGATGGATGGATGTTTTAAGTAAAGCTTCATTCATTGTCTTAAATCAGGGGTCCCCAAACTACGGCCCGCGGGCCGGATCCGGCTCGCCACGTCATTTGGTCCGGCCCCCTGAGCAATGCCGGATATGGCCCGCCTCCTCATACCAGAGAGCATTCAGTGTTTTTTGGCATATATTGTATTTTCCGGCTTATATGTGGATTTTTCTTCAACCACCAGGGGGCTCTTGAGCAGATGTGAAACTAATTTTCCCTCAATGGAATATATACTAGTCAGTCCCAGTCACAGTTTCACTCACGGTTTTTTCCATTTGCATTCTGGGTAAAAATCTATCTAAAAGCGCGAATGTATCGTCGCGCCCCCATTCCCCCCCCCGGACAAGAATTTTCCAAGGTTTCTTTCTCGAAAAACTAAGACCGGCCCCCGACCAGAGAAAGGAACAGCTATGTGGCCCTCGCAGGAAAAAGTTTGGGGACCCCTGTCTTAAATGTTAAACCTGGTTGCTTATGAGTTCTAGCAGCCTTTAGCGATTGCTAGCAGTTTTTAGTGTTTCCTCGCGGTTGCTAACGGTCGCTAGCATTTGCTAACGGTTGCTAGCGGAAACGCTCCAACTCATGTCGTGTGTCATTGCAGCCGAGCTACGCTGACCAGCCTGGGATGGGGATGATGTCGGGTCTGGGACTGGGCTACGAGCGAGGCCAGTACGGCCCGGGTCACGGCCCTCCGCACGGTATTATGCGGCAGAAATCCATCGGTGAGGTTGTCTGTTTCTTCCGTCTGCCCCTCGTCCGCCTGTCTGTCCGTCCTCTGGTCCAGTAGACTCTGACTCTGTCTTGTCTGTGGCCCACAGTATGTACTTCACCTGTATCTGTACGAAATCGTTTAGTCGTTATCTGGTCTGTTTCCCAGTTCTGTTTGTGTGTACGGATTATTTACGAGTAGTCAACATGTGAATCAGGAAGTCGCACTTCACTGAAAAAATCCCAGCAGGTTGCAGATAAATTTGACTTCACAATATTTTATCGCATCTTTAGCAATCCTGCATCCTCTTATATACCCAAAATGCAGAGGTGGGTAGTAACTAGTTACATTTACTTAGTTACTGTAGTAACTTTTTCATATAAAATTACTTTTAGGAGTATTTTTCCTACAGTACTTTTTATTTTTAGTTGAATAATATTTGTATAAAGCATCTTACTTGGGTAACATTTCTGGACTGAGTAACTTCATTACTGCCTGTAAGTATTAGTTTCATTGTTTTTTGGGGGTTTTTTGCTTCCTGAATCAGTTATTTTTTGTTATATTTATTTGTATTGTTTCCCTGTTAGAATTTAAACTGATACAATATGGAGATAAATTTTGTCTCTGTCTGATTACATAATTCTTAAATATCAGGCGTTATGATCCGTTACTCTGTCCTTGAGTAAAAACATGCTGCAGTAGTGCTACTTTTACTTGTGTACCGTTTTTGGGTACTCTGCCCACCTCCGCCAAAATGTGACAGTTTTTTTTCATGTGATGTTTGAAATTTTTAGTTGTAAGCAACAATATAATTTCAGGAGTAATAAAATAAAACACAACATCAAGGACTTACTCATGGAAAAGTGATGAGATGTTGGAGAAATCAATATAAGGTTTGGTTGTTTTGAGTTATGGTGTAAATCAGCCCTGAATTTTTCACCTAGCAACTTTTCAATCACTCCTACGACTGAGTTAGAAGTAAGATGCTGACCCTTCATAACTGAAATGAAAAGTACTTTCCAAGCACTTTTACACACACAATTCCTTTCAAAAGTATTCTTTATAAGTCTTAAATTTGAGCTAGTGAATCCTACAAACCTCCTGTTTTCCACTTCACAATTATGCCCTATTTTGTGTTTGTGTGTCACATAAAATTAGAATAAATGCATTGAGGTTTGTGGTTACAACATAATAAAATAGTAAATATCACAGCAACGCACTGTAGTTGTCTGCTTCCATGTGAACAACAGATCATATTTTACCATTTAACGCTGCTATTTAGGCCTGGCATGGTAACATATTTTGCTGGACAATAAATTGTGCCAGAAGTTATTGTATAAACGATAATATTGTTGTTTTAAGGCCATTTTCATGCAATATAAAGGTAATGGCATAATAATGCAGGAAGGAAGATCAATAAACTTTAAATTTTAGTGAACATTTAACACTGGAACTGGAGAACATTTTAAATATCCAAAACAAATAAACAAAACAATAAATAAAATGAATAATGAATCTTACGTAAGCAAACTCGTCTTTCAAAAAAAGCACCAAACTAAAGAACCGGTAGAAAGAGAAAATTGATAAATAATGCAAATGAAAATGATTGAGTCTGTTTTTAATTATCATGCGAATAATTGATATACTGTTTATTGCAACAGTCCGAGTGTTGACTCACTTTTTGTTGAGGAAAAGTATCACTGATTGATTTACATTCTTCTAACTGAGGAACTGAGGACAGACTTTCTTGGGCAGGCAGATTCAGACAGACACTCACGACTTTACTTATCCAACACTTTTTTTGTTTAATAGCTGTTAATTTTCTGGATTGTTGTTTGTGAATCCTGCACTGCAGGCGTGCCTGAGGAGGAGAAGCAGTTCCTCCATCCTCCTGCAATGAAGTTTGCGCGGAGTCTGTCGGTGCCTGGTCCGGACGATATCCCTCCTCCTCCCACCACGGCTCCACCGGAGCCCCCGTTCTCCTCCGCTCCACCACTTGGTTGGAGAACAAAGTTGTCCCAGCAGCCCTCTGTCTCCGTGTCCCAGTCAACATCCAGCTCTGCGCACTACCAGCCCTTCTCCCAGCCAGGGCACCTGAGCCAGGGTGGCAGGGAGAGGGCGAGTGGTCCCACCACCGGCCCAGCAGCGGACCACGCCACACCGTACGTTCACGCATCTGCCCATACAGCTCAGAGCAGGACTGCGTCGCGAAAGGTTGCCTATACTGGGGAGCCTGTTGGAGCTGGGATTGGGGCCGGCGCAGGCACTAAACCAGCAGGCCTGAGGAGAGGCTACAGCACAGCCGTACCCCCGTCCAGCATTGCTACTGTAATGCCCCAGCAACAACAGACTACCCAGAGTCAACCCCAGCGGGCAGACCGCAGCACAGCTGGAGCAGGTGGCCCTAAAGGTGGGGCCAGGAGAGGCAAGGGCCCTCTGGTGAAGCAATCCAAGATAGAGGAGCTGCGTCTAGGCCAGGGAAGCCTAGGGAGCAAAGACTCGGTGGAGAAAAGCTCCATTCCTATCCCCACCATCATTGTCAAAGCTCCCTCAACCAGCAGCAGTGGACGGAGCAGCCAGGGCAGCAGCGTGGAGGCTGACGTCCCCACGTCAGGGGAGATGGGTGACACAAAAATGCCTCACGGCCCTCCTCCGTCCACTCCTGCTCCACAGCCACCTGCTCCACCCTCCATTCCAGCACCACCACCTCCATCTTTGCCTTCTATTAGAGCCCAGGATAATCTGGACTTTACCAGCCAGTTCGGGGCCGCCATTGTTGGTGCAGCTCGCCGAGACAGGGAGAGATTCCTCGAAGCCCGACGCAAGAGTGCCTCCTTGTTCATGTCTGCTGAGGAGGATCTGAGTATTGGGATGAGCGAAGCGCTAGGAGGAGTTTCAAGAACTCAGGTGTCTCAGCAGCAGCTAAACACTCAGCCTGAAAGCTCGTCAACACGATTGCGCCCTTCCAAGTCAATTGATGAGGGCATGTTTTCTGCAGACACCTTTATCCAACACACCCGGAGTATGCCTCCAGCCTTCGGCCTACCGGAGTACTCCTCTACGGCCCTGGATTATCAGCCCAAATCTGTGCCTGCTGATCTGTATACAGCAGCAGGTCGACAGCCAGTGCCCTCCTCCAACACCACTTTTATTCATCCTCTTACTGGGAAGGCGCTCGACCCCACATCACCTCTGGGCCTCGCCCTGGCTGCCAGGGAGCGTGCTCTGAGGGATGACAGCAGGATAAGGAGGGGAACGGAGCACCTCTTCACCCGCCAGATGTCGAGCGTCGTGTTCCCTTCGTCTGCTGTCACCTCTCAGCCAGTTTCATCCACGACGCAGTCTTCGAGCTCTTACCTGGTGACCTCCTCTTCTCTGGCAGCTACCACACCCACAGTCGGTCGCCCACCCTCACCCAGAATCCTCCGAGGAGTAGGGAGTACTTGGGGGGAAGAAGGTGGGGAGCGGGAGCGGGAAGGGGGAGGCGCTCGCGAGGGTCTTAGAGTTCGGTTCTCGGAGGACAAAACTGTCCACACACACCACTATCAGTCTCAGCCATATCAGCCGTCTTACAAAGAGCGGGAGAGGTCGCGGGAACGGGAGAGAGACCACTCGAGGGAGAGGGACATGAGGAGGGCAGAGCAGGCTGCTGAGAGTGGGCCCCCGCAGCCCCGAAGACCCTCTTTTCTCAGGATGGAAAGTCAAGCCGATGCCTATATGCTGTCTCTCACCCCTCCCTCTCCTCCACCAACCATTACCCAGCAGGCTTCTGGAAGCACAGGGAGCGGTATGATGATCCTTCCTCCTCCTGCCCCTTCAGTTGACGCAGACGATGAATTTGTTTATGCAGACCCCCTCCCTCCTCCGTTAGAGTTTGCAAACAGCTTCGACAGAGGGGGATCAGGATACTCGCAACACGCGATGCTTTCCAACAGCCTGATCCATCGGCAACAGCAAGTCCCTCCCCCACCGCCTCCTCCACCGCCTCCGCCGCCCCCGCCACCTCCTCCCCCTCCTCAGAAAGAGCATTATATAGGTGGTTTTCCTGCCCACACACCTCTGCCCTCTCCCCAGGCAGGAGACTCCACTGCATCCAGCCTCACGTCGTATGACAGCGAAGTGGCAAATCTTACTCAGTCTGCACCTTCCCCTTCACAGACATCACCAAATCCTCCACCCCCTTCCTCACCCTCAACTCTTCAGCCAGCCATGGGTCTTCCTCCTCCCCCTGCAGTCTCACCTCCACCTCCCCCTGGAGCCGGTTCCTACCACAGACCCTTTTCAATGTCTCACCACCTTTACAACAGCACTCATGCATCCGGGCGATCCTCACCAACACCTCCCCAGCATGCAGTTGCACCACCTCCAGCTTACCGAGGTCCCCCAGCTCCATCCTCCACTGCTGCCACGTCCGTCCCACATAGGGGCACCGCCTCCCACGCAACGACCGCTAGCTGTGCTGCTACAACCACCACTGCTGCCACAACAAGCACCTCCACTCAGCTCCATCAAGAGCGAACACACCCTGCTCATTCGACATACTCCACTACCATCACAGGACGGACAGGCGAGCACCATCGTCCTCATCCCACTGCCAAAAAAGGAGAGTCCCAGGAAACGGTTGTGGACTCTGGGATTGAGGAACTGGATAGCCGCAGTAGCAGCGACCATCACCTGGACAGCATTTTGGGCCTAAGTGGGGCTGGTGTCCGAGGAGATAGACTGGATCGGGGAGAGAGACTCGGGGTTGGAGGTCCAGGGCGAATGGGAGGAGGCGCAGGAGAAACAGAACGAGGAGGAGTGGACTTTCTGGAGTCATACATGAGCTACCTGGATGGGCAAACCTTTGAGATGCAGAATGCGACGGCGGCAGCTTCCACCTACCCAAAAACCAGCAGGTTTAGAGAAGGTAGCCGCGCTGGTGACTCGCATCGACAGACCAGCACCGCCCCTGCATCCTACCACTCCCACAGGCAAAGAGACGGGCAGGTAGAGGACGACGTAGAGGAGGGACTCGGAGATGACGAGAGTGGTCAAGACGGGTACGGGATGAGGGACATGCAGAATTTGGGCCGTCCCACATCTCCGTACTTTGAGAGGCCGCGCACTCCTGAGATGAGACCCCTGTGGGGCGACGGTCAGATGAGCAGTGATATGGGGAGCCAGTCCGGGTCGCTTTTAGAGGGGAAGAAGATTTACCCCCCTGCATCCAGTATGAAGCCAAGCATTATCACTGAGCTGAGCAGCAAATTGCAGCAAAGAAGTAAAGACAGCTGGAGCAGCCACAGACCACTGAGCAGACACAGGTTGGTAACGTCGTCATATCACATTACTGTTAGCATCGTCACTGCTTCTTCGGATTTCTAGAGATTCTCCTTTCCAATAGATAATTGGTATATCTTAGGTATATCTAGAATATGTGATATCACATTCCTTACAGAAACTCGGACTGTATTAAGCAATTACTGCGGCTCGTATATTAATCGAGAGAGTGCATAGCTCTGATTGGCGCCACATAGCCGTTTATTCGCGAGCCTTCGAATGTAGCATGGCTAGCGGTAAAACACACTTCTCTCAGTCAATAAATGCACTGTTGTAATTTCTTTATACACTCCTCCGGTTTTTGGCAGGTATGTGATGTCATGAAAATGCATCTTGGGAAGTTAAAATGTCTTGGCACAATGCTACTTGATAATATATTGGCTGGCATTTGCAAAACAGCAAATCCAGGAGCGCCATTTGCTTTCCTTTGGCCTGATTGGTTGTAGCTCCTAAATAGACTCCATTGTGTTTATTAATGCCTATTAATGTATATTTGCTGTTTGAACTTTTAAAACAGGCAGCTATGAGCAATTTTAGAGGGGATCTCAACTATTTGTGGATTTTAGCTATAGGCGGGCGGCTGTGGTACCTTTCCGACACCTTTAATAACATAAATTTTCTGGAATTCATCTCACTGCTGTCTGATCTCTGGGTTAGTTTTGTGTTATCTTTTTTTCTGCTTCTGTTCACAGATTCTCTGAAGACTCCGCCTCCGCTCTGAGCCCGCCCTCAGTCCGCTCCCAGTCTCCATCTCCAATCTCTTTATCGCAGCCGTCTTTATCGCCGTCCCCAACCCCGGCCTCCCAGTACCCAAACTGGGGACGTTCCCCATCTCCTCAGCCTCCAGCCGCATCTCAACCTCCGCGCTCACATTCTCCGTTGTCCCCGACGTCGTACTCCCCTTACCCTACGTCTCCCAAGCACAGACCCGTGTACCGGACCAAAGCGCTGGAATTCCAGTTCATCCCCAGTCGAGAGTCCCGCAAAGCAGAATCACACATCCTCCAGCGCCGACGAGCTCCGAGTCCGCTCATCTCCCAAACAGAGAGGCCCAAAGTGGCCCCGCCCCGCCCGTCGTCGCTTCCCCTTCTCCCCACTTCACCCCTGTACAGTGCCATCTACGACCTCCGCGGTTCAATCACCCCACCGTCACCTGGGAATCCTCTTGGAGACCCTTACTTCTCACCCTCTCCTCCCCTTTTTGCCCCCTCTGGAGCCCCTCCACCTCCAAACTCCACCTTAGTAGTGTCGCGATCCCTTTCTCCGACTCATTTTCTGTCCGGGACGTCGTCTCCGCCCCTGCACCCCCACCCGCCGCCTACCTGCCTGAGTTACCCCCACTTACCGCCGCCTTCCCCCACAAAGCCTTTCGCTTCCAAGCCGCTGCCCTACTGGACCAAGTACGATGTTGCAGACTGGCTGGCGTACCTCAACCTTGGCGAGCATAGAGAACGGTTTCTTGATAACGAGATTGATGGCACCCATTTACCCTCTTTGACCAAGGAAGACTATCTGGATCTAGGGGTGACGAGAGTAGGACACAGAATGAACATAGAGCGAGCCCTAAGGAGTGTAATGGACAGGTAAGGTTACGCCTGTCTGTCTGGAGTAGAGATGCACTGATCCAATATTAATATCTGTATCCTAATATTGTATCCCTAGACTGGGTAGACAATGTGCCTGATCCATAAGGGCATATCTATTCAGTCTAGTTCTATGCGTTATGCTCTGAATAACGTAATGCTTTATTAGACCTGCCACAATAAGGATTTTTCTGGATGATAAATTGTCCCAGAAGTCATAGCGATAAACTATAATTTTGTTGTTTTGAGACCATTTTCAAGTAATATAATTGTAATAACGGCATAATAACACCAGACAACATTCTCAAAGATCAATTAACTTTAAATTCTGACGGAATCTGTTTCAATGGGAGAAAGCCAAATCGGAGCAGAAGAGAGATGATAATCAGAGTAGCATGGAAAGGCAATGGCCAATTTTAAGGGGCAACACAAGATCAATCGATTGGCTGCAAATGGCTCCCAGGCTTCACTTTGAACACCCATACTGTAAACAATTGAGCACCAAAATTAATTTAAACTATTAGAATCTAAGATTAGTCAAAAAACATTTAATTGTTTCATATGTTTGTTTTTATTTATTCTGCCCTAATCTCCCAAGGAAAAGGGAAAATCCATTTAGTACTTTGGATTTATTTTCACAGATAAACAGCGCCCTCTTCCTGTTAGTGTTGAAATTCATTCTGTAGAAGATGTATGTTTCCCTTTTTTCTTTCAGTCCCTGTTCTAGGATGAAATGTATTTTGTTCTGTCTCTCTCTGTCCTCAGGTTGTCCAGCAGTCCGTTTCCCATTTCTGTCCTCTCTCCTCGGGAAGGGCAGCCTGAGAGGAGGAGGGACGACGGGAGTCGGAGCTGAGGCCGCGAAGGAGGAACAGGGAGGGGCTGAAGTCCATGTCGGAGGATTCACACAGATTTCACACGGAAAGAAAGAATAGGATGAAGAGCTGATGATCTGTAAACCCGCCGGCTGGTGCTCCTTGATTTACATCCATCCAAACACAACCACAGCAACACAATCTAACTAAACCTCCTCTCAGTGAATACACGAGGGTCTTTATGGCAGCAAATTTCAGATTTATTAACTAGAACAATCACAAAGCAGAGGGTGCATTCGGTAGGGCTGCAGAGGCGAGTCCTAACAGCTGATTGGTTGTTTTTGTTCAGGTTTGAAGGTGAGAGGATTCAGATTTTAGCTTCCTGTGAGGAACATGTCTGTGTGTCAGAACGTAGAAAGGTGTTTTTTAAAGAGCGAGGCTCCGTGTGCTTTATTGCAGCGTAGAGTCATGGTAAAAACTAAACACACCCTTTTATTTTAAATGTCAGGGGATAAAATAAGTGATCTGGTCTTTACCAAGTTAAAATCTGCAGTTTTCTCCTCGGTTATTAACAACTTCCACCGCTCTGCTAGCACAAAATTTCCAAACACATGTAG